TTTCTTTTCGCAACTGATGACATAATGAATTTTTCGTAACCAGTTTCATAATGTTTAACATTGTGCAAATGGTGGCATAAGGTAGATAATTTTGACACTTGCTGCGATTATAGAAGATGTCACTTTATAAATCAAAATTAGAACAAAATTATTAAACTAATGTATTTAAAAAATGGCTGATTTATTAACAAAAGTATATTTCATTTCCTGTTACCGTAACTCAGAAATAAGTGATCTAATTCATCAATTCCAAGTTTTAATCCGTTTTTTGTACTTTTTAATTAGTCAAAATTCTTTGAATAGTCTGCGTTTGGTACAAATTTTTCTAACTGTTGAATTATTATCTTCCATTTAATTTAAGTCAAACTTTTATTTAGTCCATTATTCATATAAAAATCTTTTATTTATAGCACTTCAATTTAAATCCAATTCAATCAGCAGTTATTATGTCAGATTCTCTGTCATACAGGCTATACAAGGCTCTTCAGTTAAACATAGCAAATAAGAAATTATCTTCGAAATAAAAAACTTATTGAGCCTGTTATCAGACTCAAATAAGAATATCTATTTTATTTGGGTTAAAGCCATTGCGGGAGAGAAGGAAATTAAAAAGTAGATCTAGAAACTAAGGAGACCTGCAGAACAGGTGCAAACACAAAATTGGCTGCATTTACTGATATTATAAATTATCAAAAAATATATTAGAACTAAATGGGAAAGTTATTATCGCGATTATGTAACCAACTCTAAAGTCAATATTTTCAAATTCACCAGTCTTTACCAAACAAAATTCCGTAAATAGCCATTTTTGATTACAGAGAAAATTGCACGTCTTTAATATCTCGGCTTAAACTGAATCATGGTCGATTTAAGAAGCACACCTGACTACGAGATGTATGTTCAGCGATAATTTTTCACTACGTTGTTCAATTTCTATGATTCTTGATTTTTGTTAGAAAGAGGGAATCTCAGGGGTGGTCCCATATAAATTTGGTCAATATCTAATAGTGGGGTCCATGAGATGGATTTTCAGTGATGTGTGTGTGATTAAATTTAGGTTTCCCTTGGCTACGGATACTAAGTCCATTCGCCACGATTTTCAGTGATAAATCACCACGTTGTCCGATTTCTGTGATTCTTTTTTTTTAGAAAGTGGATACCTCAGGGGTAGTTCCGTATACAATTTTTAAGGGCATTCGCACGATTTTAAAGTCAGTTTTTTAAAATTACTTTTGTAACACTTTGTTTTACCTATACATTATCTTGTATTTAATTACATTATTATTATATTATGACAAGTTTCTTTAAATTATTTAAATTTGATAATTTATTTTTAAGATTGTTCAAGTACGCACTAATCAACCCTACTGTTGGTTAATTTGTCTCTTTATTTAGTTTAATATTTATAAGTGAAAATAAACCATTAGAATACACAAATTATACAGCTATAATAATTAGGCGCAATCAGGGCAATTTTTCAGAGTATCAGGACTACTGGTAGTTTGATAAGTTTTTTGATATTTCTCAACTAGTTAGTTTCATTATATGTACATGTAAAAACGCAGCCATTTTCTTCAAGATTAGCTGGGATATTGAGAGAAACATAATATGCTTAAGTGATTCGGATAGAGAAACATTTAAAGATACAGGAAATATCTTTTGACAGGTGACAATTTATGCAGAAAATAATAAGATATTAAAAACGGGGAATATTCATTTGATATACGCATGAGGAAAATGTGAAAAAACTTAACCAACTGTCAGGTGCAGTGTGAATAAATTTATAGTAAGACACCAAAATTTTGGCAGTCTAAATGGATAAAATCAAACAAATTATACGTATTGAAAAAAAAATGTAACAATAATTTTATTTGACATTTGTATTAAAAATTATCCAAATAAGCACCTTTTGTCCAATTAAAATGATCCTACACCCGTTGTGTTTAAACGAATCCACCTAAGTGACCATATATCCACATACACGCACTCGCTGCCATCTTCTAAGGACATACCCCGTTATAATTTCAATTATTTGCTAAACAAATAAAGCCAAAGAATAAATTCCGATTTAGAATGCGACACGATAGATAACAATAGCCAATATGTCAATACGAGAGTAGATAGTATCAGTTTCAGAAGCGGGGTTGCGGTTCAAACCTAACTATCCAATTAACCAGCCCTAATTGTGACTGCTACGCCACATTTATTTTGTAATTAGAAACAAGATAGAATTGTTTGATATAATTGTCAGAGCTGCTAATACAAGAGATTTAATTAATTTATATTAAAAACTGTTTAACTAGTAAAATAACTTCAGAACAAATGTTTCTTTTTGTGGAGCTCAAAAATATACAGGTTGTTTCGCAAATACTTCGCTGCGTGATATGTAGGCGAATAAATAATTTCTCCATATGTATGGTTTTTATTTATTTTTAAAAATTACATAAATTATCGATCATTTAACATCCGAATAGTTTAGAGTGTTCGTTATACAAGGTATTTCAAAAAATCATCAACTAACTCAAAATTTACAAAATGGTGTCCACAAATGAATTTGAATTTATAAAAACCCAGTACGGTTTAGCTAATAGTTTTATTTTAAAACCAGGCAATATATAAACCAACTATTTTTCTAATACATTTTATTGAACTTTATCTAATATACTATTTGTTTCTATCGATCGTTTTAAGAGTGTTTTATAACTTCATTAACTTTACGGTCATGCGAACCATTTTCCACCAGTCTGATACTGCTCTAATCCCATAAGTCCGTCTGTTACTACCTCCACTTTATCTGGTACTATGTATATTTGATGAAGTGAGTAAACCTCTGAAACCCCCTATGGAACGACTATGGTTAGACATATCGAAGTTTACCACTTACTTCTTACATACATATAGTATTGCTTCGTTAATAGTTAAGAATTTAAATATAGAATAAAATAAACTCTCAATTATAATTAGCAAAATAATGTTATATCTACCAAAAAAAACAAAAAAGCCAGAAACAAAAAAATAAACTAAAGGTGTGCACGAGTTTTGTTTTTTAGTTCACATATTATGGTACAGCAAAAGATATCACAAAATTCAGATATCTTGTTACTACACATAAATCTTGAATGAGTAAAACCAAATTTGGTAGATTTTCACAAAACTTTTATTTTAAAAAATAAAAAATAAAAATTAAAAACACTACACATGACATGTTTCGAAGTACAACTTCTTTTTCAAATGTGACTAATTTAAAATTTATTGAAGATTTTTGAATTAAATTTATTTGAGCTCTTTTACATTGAAATGGTATATTATGTCTAGAAGTCAATCTAGGAACTTGAAAATCAATCTAATATAACAATTCAGAGCTATCAACTTTATTATTTAAGAGTTTATGTAAGTATAAAACAGAACCCTGTATCCTACGTTTTTCTAACGAAACAAAATCAAAATTATTTAATAGAATATCGTAGTCCATACCTCTAATAGGTTGCTTATTCTGGATCTCGAGTTCATGAATCCATGCTGGTGATTGGAAATAGTGTCTTTTACAGAGAGGTATATGCGGTTATACAAGATTGACTCTAATATTTTGGCTGCGTTATTCAGTATAGATATGGGCCTATAATTGTTAATCACGTTACGATTTTCAGACTTGTGTACAGGATACACTTTAGCTACACGTTTTTAAAATTAGGCTAAAAAGTGTCTTGAGGGATAGATTAAAACTCTAATACAATCTTTTAACAAAAATGATGGAATTTTATCAGGATCAGATATAGGTTCTGAACTAATATCAATTAAATTACCATTGTGAAAGTTAAAATTTAGATTTGCATCATCTGGATCTGCCAAAGAAAAAACGCTTTCAAAATAATTTCCAAAAGCGTTTGCAATATCTTGGAGATTATTATATAATTCATCACCACAATACATTGTTCTAGAAATTCTTGAACTATTATTTTTTTGATGCCCAAAGGACCAAAAAGATTTATGTTCATTTACTGAGCAGGCTTGGACATTTTCCAAGTAACGTGAATATGCCAAAGTAATTTTTTGTTTAACAAATGTTCTAAGTCTACTGAATTCCTGATAGTGAGCAGTATTGTTTGTTCTTTTAAAATTCCTATTTATTTTAGCTTTATACATTATTAGATTAAAAACAAATCTTGTTAATATTAAAAATATGACCCGTAAATAAATCATTTTGCAGTTATGATTATGTCCTATCTTATTATTTTATATCAAGATCATTTGTATAAAAACATTTTTATTGACATCGAATATAACAGCAATAATCAGTTAAAATAGTAAAAAATATATTCAATTGAATTTCATAATCTTAACAAATCAGCATCATTATTAAAAGGCTCCGACTTCCAATGGCAAAGATAGTACATGGTCATTACGATACCACAATTCAGGCCCATGCATGTACTATAACAACGTTTCGTAAGAGAATCAAACTGACTATCAAAGAAATATCAATTTATGCTAACTACATACTCATTTTCATAGCTAGCTACTTATAGATGGTGCAATACCTCGTAGTCAGTTATTTGCGATTTTCTGTGTACCATTAATTTTACAAATACTACGAAAAGTCGAGATGTAATTACACAATGCCAGTCTCTAATACTTCAATCACGATATAATCGGACAATTGGAGAAGTTTACAATTATAAAAACCTATATTGGGAACTGTTTGTTTGTGGTAGTAACTGAATATTGTTAATTTGTAATAAAAATTATTTTTTAAAAAATTATTAGCGAACAGCCGTTTTAAAATATGATTTAAATATATTACTATACCTACATAGGAAACTTACTGGTAATATTAAAATAAAATTAAAAAAGTAAGGTAGCTACTAATTTAAAAATTGTAATATTATGTAGGTATCCGATCAATCAGGTGCTTGCTCTTAGGTGTATTTAAGAAATGGTGCTACAAATAGGTTGCTAGAAAATTAGGAAATATAACTTTATAATATTATCAATTCACTCACCATCACTTGAAGAAGATCCAACGTGGGAACCACCGTCCCCTGAAAAGACTGTTTCCATTAATTAAAAAATTAGTTCTAAAAGTACAAGTTATATAAATTATTAAAATTGAGAAGAAAATAGAGCATATTAGAAATTCGAACAAAAAACATCTGCTTGCTCTGTTTTAAAATAGCAAATAGTTTTTAATAGATGCTTTATTTACTCTCTTTATGATCCCCGTATAAGTAATGTAAAATAATACTGCATAATTAATAAAATAATAATAATATTTCATTATTCATTCTCTACTTTGGCATTATTTAATTTAATAATCTTACGTAAAATAAAAATTATTTTTTAATTATACACATAATAATAAATAAAAATAACCCAACCTGGAAAATATTGATTAACCTATTTCTAAAGAATAGCTGCTTAGACAAGCTACGTGCAAACCAGCTGAACACCTGGGCAATTTACCGTCTCACTTTGTGTAAAATTAGCTTCGACTCGCTTTCACTTACAGATCAATCTCACATAGTTCCGTTTAAAATAATTTGATAATTAGAGGCAAGCACCGCTCAATAATTTCTAACTCATATTTGTCTCTCTCTTAACGGTAGACTTGTGTTTAACCACACCATTTTTTCAAATTATTCACAAAAGCATAGACCTTTAGACTCAACACGCAAAACATTTTTTTAGTTGAGAATCATTTGAACCTCCCAGCGAAACAGTTGCTAATTTAAACTTAAAACAAATGTTATATTCATAAAAGATTTTTTAAACCCGGCATGTTTTATGCTCAATTTATTATTTAAAACATTTTCACCAATCAACTATTTGTTATGTGGTTATTGAATTCAAAGTTTAAGATAAAGATAAAGATAGAAAACCAGTTAAAAATATCAAGGTACTTTAATCTTTGCATTCCACGACACCTTTTAATCAAGTATCAATACTTTCTACAAGAACATCGTCGATCTGTGACACGCTCTTTTGTAACAGTGAGTACTGCATAATAGCCTTTATTTCATATTTTATAGCACTTTTATTCTTTGTTTGTTAGAATTTTTTGGATAACCATAAAACAAAATATAACTGTTATATATGCACGAAACATCTATGGCTTTTTTATAAAAAAAAGAAAACCTCTGACTAAGAAAAGCTGATTCTCCTTAGATTTCTTAATATCAGTAAAGCATTGACATCTGCTAAAGGTACTCTTGTTTGTCCGCAGAATAAATCTGGGGAGACGATATTCACATGTCAGATCTTTCTTTCAAAAATATTGTATTATTGAATTTGTTTAAAACAAAACTAAAAAATTGAAATCATCATTATAATCTCTTTTTTATTTACTTAGTGATTTTTACATTTGCATCATATGATGATCTGTATCGGTAACTTGCGAAGAGTGGGTTTATCCATGGCACTTATGCCTTACTAGGCGCATTGTGGCTCCCCCTAAGCTAATAGGCACCTTCTATCTCGTGAGCCAGCCTACAGATATGATGTAAATGACAACGTCGCAAGAGGTGTTTCTCTTATATCGGCCAATTCGTGCCGAACACAAATCTTCTGATATATAAGAGCATTGAGCAAACGTAGAAGATATGCTCGATGGTCTAATCTTCTTGTTTGCAACCCATGCAGAATGCGGATTGTGACAGCCCCATGCAATGGAAAAGCTTTCGTACTTGGCAATGACAAGTCAGAATGCCTGTGATCAGGAGCAGATTCCGTTTAGTCATAATCAAGTATTTGTATTTGTCAAGTATTGTCAGGATAACTTAAAAGCTCCCTGGCAACTCTACAGCCTCATATTTCATCCCACTTTTCCTTGAATTTCACAAAAGGGTATTCTTTAATTAGGTTTGTCATTACTGATGTTGTCAGTCCAATAGAAGTATTTGACTGGCTGCCTTCTTGGAAAATAAAAGTAAATTAACCTTTGGATGTGGTGTGATCTTTACCCATCTACCCATCTTAAGGTGACCACATTGTTGATGGATACTTCAGACAAGGCTTTGTGATATTAAAGTACTAACCCTGAGTATATTCGTGATTTGTCCATATGTGATATTAAAAATTCTAATGTATATTTCTTAAGTTTGAAATTAAATAATTTTTATAAAATGTTTTAAAAGGGACCATCATGAAACAGTACGGCATTGTATGTTGTATCCTACTCCTTTTCCCGTTTGGTTTATAATGCGGACAAGACCTTGTATTGTTTAGAGCAGATGTTCTCAAACTTTTTGGTTCTGCAGACCACTTTTCGATTTTTCTGTTTTCTGTAGATCTTCTGCTCTTCTAGTTTTTAATTTATCAAAATTCATCAAATTCAATCGTGTTTTCGATAGAATTTACTCACCGTAAGATGAATATAAGTTTTAATTTTTACCTTTATTAATTGAACAGTTTACAACCAACAAATAAATTTTTTTTAACGTTACTACCCTCTATCTTCCGTTGGTTAGAAGAATAAATCTTGATATTTTTCAAATAGTACATTTTAAAATTTATTTTTATAAAATAGTTAAAATTTGACTACAGCTCGGTCATATTAATTAATAAAACAAATTATCTAAATTACGAGTATATTTATATAAAAAAATATTATTCAACTAACGAATGACGAAGTTAATACCTGTAGTATATTCCACAGCTTTAATCCGAAACTAGTAGGATATTCACGACGATAATATCCACTATACTTTATAGCTGATTGTACGTACACAAACGTGTAACTGACGTAACGTGAACACCATTATGTAAAATAACTTCTCAATTAAGTTAAAAAAATACCCACCAAGGATTGACAAGTAACATTAAGATTCACATCTAAACATTCCGCGTGCAAGTCGACATGCATCTTATTGCGAAATACGCAGTCTGTTGATTCGAAAAATCTTTACATAAATGGGTTAAACATGATTTGATGTATCTCATATAGTGCAGAATGCAAAAGTTAAAGAGTAGCTAGAAGTGTTGAATATTTAACGATGACTAATGTTAGATAATTATAGGTCAAAAGGTATTTAAAATCATTAAAATGTTTTGATTTAAGGTTGCAAATCGGATATTTCAGCTAACTTATATAAATGTATAGGTTTATTAAACAAATAGGTCGTGCAGAAAATATAGGACTACACTCAATGCATACAAAGTATTTATAATTTGAAGATATTTTTTTTTAATATTGACTTTTTTATAAAAACATGCAAATTTGTAAATTTGTATCAATGCAAACTAAAAACTTTAATTTTTTGTATATTGATATTGATATTGTAATATGAAGGTTGAAATTATAAAACTTTAAACAATAAAAATTGAAAAAGAAAGTTTCTGTAGGTAAGTTTCAAACATATCATAAAGAGAATCCGAAGAAAAAATAGATAAGATCATGGAAGACGCAAGACTAACTAATAACACTAACACATTAATACTAGGCGACTTCAACGCAAAATCGCATCTCTGGAGCCGTAACAGGACGGAAGCCACGGGTACTTATTTAGAATCATATATATGGCCACACTGAATTACATCGCACTAAACAATTGATCAACGCCCACCTTCATCAAGGAAATAGAAAATTATACGTATACATTACCTTAGCATCCAAACGAGCAAACAGGCAGATGACAAAAACCTGGAGAGTTGCTTGACGAATCGCTTACCGAACACAGGTTCATCACAGGTACAAAGCACAACAATAAACAACACAGCACAGAGAAAAAAAACGAATTGACAGGAAATCTTCCTAAACACTCTAGAAATTCTTAGACAAAATACCGGAGAGTCACACGACAATCTGAGAATTCTAAAAAGTGCACAGATATCTAGTGAATCCAGATACTCACCCCAACAAGCAAACAACAAGCCGTACTGGTGAAATTGGCGAAACATTGGCGTCTACAGGAGAAAGCAAATTGAAGAATAGGACCTACTACCACGTTGGAAAACAATTACAAATTCGCCAAAAACGAATACTGACAAAAAATAAACAGCTCAAGGAGAGAGATGTAGAGAGCTCTGTGCAGAACTCGAGGAAGATATATGAGGCCAAGGGTTTAAAAGTGCCACTAGATACCTAAAGAGATAAACACAACCCTATGAGTTTTCCAACACGAAAAAAGGGAAATCATCGACGACATCTTTCCAGACTGGAACAAGGAAAGAGAACCCTGGTAGCTCTTACGTGAAAACGAACTTTTTACAACCGCAGAGCTAATAGCTGCCTCAGCTAGATTAAAATCTGGTAGAGTACTAGGACCTGACGGTATTACACCGGAAACAGTCAAAGGAAACAGTCAAAGCAGCTAGCAAGTTGATAACAAAAGACTTTCCCGGGACAGAGGGCAAGAATAGCACCTATTTTGAAAGGAGACAGAAAATCTAAAATTCAGTCCAATATATTAATCCTAGACGTGTTATGTAAGCTCCTAGAAGACTTAATAAAAATCATACTGTATGACCAGGTAACATTCTCTGTTGCCCAATACGGATTTTAGAAAGGAAAATTTAAGGTGGGAACCGTTTAAGCACTGAGGACACTAGACACCATTGGCAGACAACACCGCGAAATGGAAATTATTCTTGAAAAGATTGAAGAAAAATGGTACGATGGGGTGACTACTAAACTTAATTAGGAGCTACTACTACAAAATAATATTCGTAGCGAGATATAGTAAAAGAATTACCCAAGGGGTCCCTCAAGGGTCCGTACTTGGTCTAACATTATAGAACATCCTTTACGACGAGGTACTAAAACTAGAGCTTCCTCGAGATTATGAAACCATAGAGTACGCGGACGATCTTACACTGATGGTAAGATCAGGCTCCAGAGCAGAACTAATGGAAAGAGAAAATATCTTCCTTGTTAGGATCACAAAATGGATGGACAGACATCTTACGCTGGCACTTCAAAAGACCGAAGCTGTCATCTTCAAGGGCCCTAGAAAGAGAGAAGGCATAATTTCACCATTAGAGACATCGAAATTATTCTCACAAAATGTGACAGATGTCTGGGTATCCACTTATTTTTAACGAGCATATTAAGAAA